GCTGACAGAACGAGATTACACCAGCATCTGAACCATAATACAAGGGTATAGAGTTTGCATTAGAAAATGCAAACAACAGTCTCTCTTAAACTGTGTCTTACACAAAGGACAAGCTTTAGATGCAGTGTCCCAATTTCAGCCCTACCTTCATGTCTAAAAATAAACAGTAATCTTAATAAGGGCAATACACAAGCAGTTGCCAGAACCAGAAGTTGCCCAAACTCTTTCCTAATACGAATTCCCCTGATATATATGGTATTTGCGTCAGGACTGATACTGGTTAGTTTTCCTCGCATATCTTCTCCCCCTGTTAGTGCCATTTGCTGTGTATGGGCCAGCATCAATGGAGCTGGGTGCCCCTGCGTGGGCCCAGTGCCCTCCGCTCCCCCTCGTCTCAGCAGGAGCAGGGCAGGAGCCGCCTGTGCCATCAGCAAGCCTCCAGCTTGCCAGATTTCTGCTCGTCCTCCTCCGCCTTCATCTGCCTATGTTTCGTAGAGGTCCTGGCTACCTCGTGTTGTATTCCACGGCAGTAAAATGCAGGAGCTGTCTCCTGTCTGACTTCCCTCCCACGCTCCCCAGTGAAGCCTGTGCAGGAGGGGGGATGTTTCGCCCAGAGCCAGGCAGGGTCCCCAGCCACGCGGTGCTGGAGCGGTGACTGATGGCTGCTCTCTTTCTAGCTGGCCAAGACTTACTCATACGCCCACGGCTGGATGCACCGTGGCTGGAACTGTGGAGACTACTTTGCTGATGGCATCACGAATGGGGCATCCTGGTACTCACTCAGCAAAGGTAGGGGCTGGGCAGGTGACCACCATCCGCAGCAAGGTGTTGAGCTGAAGAGAGGTGAAGGGATAGATGAGAAACCTCAGGACAAGATGGGTTGGGGAGGGGCTGTGGCAATAGCACTGTGCCTATTACTAGACATCGTTCTGGTGTCTGCATCTTGGGCCGGGAAATGGCTTGGGAAGACTGGAAGTGGCTTGGGAAAGAGCCACAGAAGTAGCTGAGGTCTGCAGAGACCTGCTGTATGCTGCTGGACGAAGGAAGTGTTAATCTGTTAGTGTATTTGAAAATGCTACAGTGTAACTCCATTGATGAAGACCCAAAACTCTGACCAAAGGAAACACATTTCTCATAGCTGCTGGCTCCTGAAAAATCTGATTAAAAAAGGCATAATGAAGAAACTGAAAATCAGCAAATTAGGCTAGAAAAAAAGATTGGAGAGCAACTGGAAAGGGACATACAGCCCCTGCGTTACCAAGCCTTCCTGCGCTTCTGAAGGCAGAATGGTGAATGATCTGGCTGAAGGAGGGAGTTGGGCAGCCACAGGGGAGGGGGCTGCACGGGGGGAGAAGGCTCTAGTCATGCTGTATGGAGGGAGGAGCCTGCACCTGCAGAGCAAAGTCGGAGAGCAAGACGGTTCTGGTAGAAGATAGACACGGGCCAGGGTGCCTGGGACACAGGAGTGGGGAGGGAGAGAGCCTTGCATTCCCCTGGCCACAGGCTCTTCTTCTCTTCCAGGCATGCAGGACTTCAATTACCTCCACACCAACTGCTTTGAAATCACCCTGGAGCTGAGCTGCAATAAGTTCCCCCCCGAGGAGGACCTGGAGCGGCAGTGGATGGCCAACCGGGAGGCCCTTGTTGCTTTCATTGTCCTGGGACCTACACCCTTCTGCTGCAGGTCTCCGTGGGCCCTGATGATAGGGGACCAGTACGCACTAGGCGTGGAAGGTAGGTGGTCATGGAGCTCGCTGGGTGCTCTAATTGGTGGCTTTTGGGGAGGCTGTTGTGTCCTAGACTGGCTCTGCTGGGGAGAACCAGGAGAGCCAAGGATATGGGGAAAGGTGGGGTTGTCCCCAGAGCTCTGCCCTCCTCCAGTGCTCGGCAATACCCTCTTGAGCAAAGGAGGGTCCTTGACCCAGCAGTCTGTCTCCCTCCCTGCAGGTTCATCAGGGTATCAAAGGGATGGTGTCAGACGAGAACAACAACGGCATTGCAGGAGCAGTGATTTCTGTCCAGGGAATCAGCCATGACATCACCTCTGGTGGGTTGTCAGTCCCCTTGCATGCTGTCCCTTTTGGATACAGCCTCTCGGAGGCTATCTGGGTATGTGGGAGGAGGTTAGCAGGCCAGTTTATGTGTGGCCAGCATGGTTTGCTTCCCAAAAACACTAGCTGTGAGAAATGTGCCTGTGCATCCTGGACCAGGGAGGGCTTAGGAAAGCTTAGGAAAGAAAGAGGTGAGAACTGGAATGCAAACCTTATTGTAAAGGACTTCAGAAAGTCAGCTCCTATTTTATCTGAGAGAGAGGAGAAAATACATTTGTATATAACCAAAGAGAAGACTGAGGGAATAATCTACTCAAGCATCTAAGTATCTAGAGCTGAAATAGCTGATAGCAGAGGACACAATGGCAGAATAAGATGAAGGACTGAAAGTTCAAGCCAGACAAATTTAGACTGAGAAAGAAGTGCCACTTTAGTTTATCCAAGTTGTGATGGTTTCTCCTTTGCTGGCCGATTTTAACCTCCTTTTCATAAACACCCTTCTCCAACCGGACCAGACATTACAGACTGGCTGCAGAAAATAGCTGATATTCCAGCTCTTCAGACTATGAAATCACCAAAACTCCTTCTGGCCATAGGTCTGTGACTCAGTAACACTCTGATATTTGGCACTTATTATGCCAACCTGCATAGGAAAGGGGAGTGTGCAAGAGATCACAGAATCACAGAGGTGCTGGCTGCAAAGGGCCCTCTGGAGTCTCCTGTCCAACCTCCTGCTTGGAGCAGGATTGTCCCCAACGTTGGCTCTGATCAGCCACTGCTCCCTCCAGCCGAATCTCACTGACCCCCAAGGAAGGAAATTTCACAGCCTCTCTGCTGTCCTGTGCCAGGGCTGCACCACCTCTGAGGTGAAGCTGTGCTCCCTGATCCACCCTGAAGCTCCCAAGCTGCCATCTGTGGCCACTGCCCCTCCTTCTATTGCCTGGCACTGCTGAGAGGAGTTTGGCTCCATCACCTTTGTAGCTGCCCTTCAAGTAGCTGCCGGGTGTGAGCAGATCCCCCTCCGCCGCCGCCTCCCAGCCAGGCTGAGCCTGCCCGGCTCTCCTTGTGGGGCCTGAACTCTCCCTGTGGGTCAGGAGCTCCGGTTCTTCCACATCTCTCTTAACCCGGGGGCACCAGAACTGGACATGGTATCCAAGCGCAGCCTCCCCGGGACTGAACAGAGGGAGAAAATTATTCCCTTTGACCTGCCGGCCACCCTCCCTGTTTTCCCTTGGAAGCCTTGGAGTCGTGTGTGTCTCACTTCTACCAATTAGCCCCACCTAAGCCAAAATAACACAGGCTGCCTGTAATGATGACTCAAATTTGCAATACCCATCCAGTTCCATAGACGGGAATATACTCAAATTGTCAAAGTAATCCATAATGTGCTGCTGCCTCACTGTTGGCCGTCCCCTGTCCCTAACCACACCAGTACACAGTCCATCAAAGTGCTCCTGGGGCTTCCTTATGCAGGGAGAATCGGGGAGCAGCTGAGCTGATGAGCAATTAAAACTCTGCTGATAACCCAAACGTGACAAAATTGTATATGACAGGAATTAGAGATTGTGTTACGCATAAGGAGTCAGACTGGAGCTGTGATTGCCCTTAGGTCTGCTGTCATCTGACTGGCGAGCGCTTAGATTTGCAGCCTCCCTGCACAGGCACAGCCAACGCTGCTGTACCGTCCCCTTTCGTTTGGCGTTTACTTGCAGACTGATCTCTACCCTGTGGCCCTAATGAGACATCACTTGCAGTCTACCAATGTGAATCCAGCCTTGCGGTAGCCAGCAGATTTGGAAGGAAGGCCAAAAATTGCCTGGGTTTTGAAGGCTACACATCCTCGAGGAAGTACGCTCGGCAAGACCTACTGGAATATGTTTTGCTCGGCTCCTTGTGCATCCTGAGTGCTTTCTCTTCCCACCTTGTGTTCCAGGTGATATGGGGGATTACTTCCGGCTGCTGCTGCCTGGCACTTACACTGTCACAGCCTCTGCAGAGGGGTACCAGCCCCAGACGGTGACAACAACAGTCGGCCCAGCTGCACCTTCATTGGTGAGTCAGGCTGCATAGTCATGAGGGTGTCTCAAAATATCTTCACCCCAGGGACAAAGAAATGCAGCGGGGGATGTCTAGCAAGCAGCAGAGAAAGGAGATGGGATGTAGAGCATTGCCAGTGGCTATAGGCTGTCTGCTTTGGCAGACACAGGGCTCCCGGCAGCTCACAGAGAGGGACAGGGTGAAGGCAATGCCGTGTGCCTCTCGATTCCTTGCTGAGGGCTCGCAGCTGCACTGGGCTGCCATGCCAGCTCCTGCATCCTTCTGCCTCTTAGCCATGGGGAGAGGCCCTGGCTGGCTGGTGCTGCTGCTCTTTAGCTCTCCCTCCATCCTCCCCACTCTCCAGGACGTGATGATGTGGAGACAGCACCTGTTCCCTGAGGCTCCGTTCTCCCCCTGGCTCTGTGGGTTTCAGTGTTCTGCTATCATCTGCATCCTGCCTGGGACCAAACATGTTGTCAGACTCATAGCAAGAGGCTGAAGTCTGCCTTTCTTTCTGCTGAGAGCACCCGAGACAGATGGGAACTGGGTGCCGACAAAGAACAGCCAAGCACCTGTGGGAGATGAAGTGCTCTTGACACCAGTGTGGCCCCTACAGCGCCTTTTTGAGGGCAGGCTGGACAACTAGAAACTGGTTATAAAAACATTGGGTGGTGATTCCTGCCCCTGGTGTTGCCGTGTGAACATGGTGGGACCGCAGATGCAGCTTCCTCTAAGGACCAGCAAGAACCCCCCGGCTGTGGCATCCTGGCACATCATTTGCTTCACTGCATGTACACTGGTCAGGCTCTGCCGTAAATACACTGTGGTGGTTCTCCCACCCTCCATCTCTTCATCTCACCCTACCCAGCCTCTGAAGTTCTTCCAGAGCTGCCCTTTTCTCAGGATTAGAAACCTTCTAATTTTCGTCCTAAATTTATTTATGGTCAGTTTATCCCTATTTGTTCTTATGCCAATGTTGTGCTTTAAATAGCTCCTCTTCTTCCATGGTATTTATTCCCTGATGTATTTATAGAGAGCTGTCAAGCCCAGTCCTAGCCTTTGTTTTACTAGGTTAAGCACCCAGCTCTTTGGCTTTCCTTTTTAAAACAGATTTTTCTTTTACCATGTTACTGTAGAAGACCAATTTGTTCCCTGATGGTCTGATTTTTGCAGATCTCCCCTCACAGCAGCCCTCCTGTCCCCATTTCCCCCTGCCCCTGCAGCACCTCCCATACCCACTGTTCACCCCATCCCTCCCCCAGGAAGCCCACACAGCCGCATTCCAGTTTCACCTTTCTGTATGGCCTCCCCATTTATCTGATGCTGTGTCCTGCATGCTTCTTGTCCCCTTCTCGCTCTTGTACCTGCTTGCATGGCTGTAGTGGATGGAGGTTTCTTTTCTGGATTTTTTTTTGCCTGGATCTACTGGAAGCACTGTTTGCTGAAAGACTGATTAAGCAGGATTCAGCTAATGAGATGCAATTGAAACAGGACTGTCTGTCCTAAACCCTCCTGTGTATTAAATATTCACAGAGATGCAAAGCAATGCTATTTCTCTACTCTCTGGTGAGAAAAAATGAAGAAAGAGCATAGCTCAGTCCCTTGCCTTTCACAGCTCACCTTCCAAACCATCCTAGGACATTGCATTGCCACAGGAGAACTCTCTGCACAAGAAATGTCGCTGATTGTTGATACAACACTTTCCACAGGAAAAAAAAAACTGTTTCCAGCTGATTTAAGAACTGAATTCCCAATGTATCGTAACACTGGCTGAGGCCCCTTATTGCTTGTCTTGGCCCAAGAGTCAGCTTCGAAGGCTAGCGGCAGAGGCAGGTCCTGCAGACCCCTGAGCCAGCAGAGCACACACACAGTGTTACACGGTTATTTTTGTTCTTTCTCCAGGTGCATTTCCAGCTCAAACAAGATGTGGTGAGGAAGCCCCCAGAGCGTAAAGCCTCAGGCACACGCACGAACAACAAAGCCCTTCAGAAGAAGGTAGTGCCAAGAGCCACGCGCCAGGGGGCCCAAAGATGAGGACATCTCACTTGGCTGGAGCTGGGGGAAGCCGTTTATACAAGGCCTGGCTGATGACTCCAGCCAGTGAACTTTCCAACAGTCCAGCATGAAAGTAGCCCAAATCATTAGGTTATTAAACAAGGAAGTATTTAATCCCTGAGAAAATCGTGAAGTCATTCACAACAAAATGTGCCTGGGCTGCGGTTCCCCGGGCAGTGTGTCCGTAGCTGCTGAGCTCTTCTCCTGCACTCCCTCCATCTTGGAGAGCTCTGCTCCCTTTACTCCTGGACTCAGTTGCTACAGCCCACGTGAGATGCCCAGACACTAGTGCATACCAGGGAGAATGAATCCAGTCCCTCGTCTTTGACTGCTGCACTCACAAGCTGGGCACGTTGAATCCTGGCACTAGTCCTCCGGGTGTGAGTGCCATGCTTCTCCCTCAGGTAAGGACGGTTGCTGCCTGTAGACCCTGAAGTTAGGGGGAGGATGGTTTTAGAGCAGTCAGTGATGAGACCAGCTCTGAACACAGTTTGTCCCACGCGTAGCCCAGCTATCACTGGTTGGCAACACTACAAGTAAGAATGCAACATTGGGAGGTGGTGGTGCAAGGTCATCTCCCGGCTGATGTCACATTTATCTTGATGTGCAGATGGGACTTTCTGGTAGCTGGATTGGATTATTTGTAGTCAGACAGGCTGAAACGATACACGCTGGCAAAAGCCAAGGATTATCCCATCTCCTTATGTCTTCAGACCCAAACCAGATGGCTCACTGAAGGGTGTGCTCTAGCCAACACAAACTATTAGTCTGAGCACAGGAGCAACTAGGTGAGGTCTGACAACTGGTGATGAGTAGGAGTGCAAGACAGGTGATTTGATGTTCCTTTGAGACAAATACCCTGAACCTTGGTCCTGTCAATGTGCAACAGGGAAGTGTGGATGCTTGATGCCAGCAGTGTGCTGTGCAGGTACAGCACAAGCCACGTGAGTTGTAATTGGGTTAGGGAAGACATGATCCATAGTTCAGTGAGGTGGGGTACGACAGGCTGGGCCTCAAAATGCTGCTTAGGCTGTGTGGGCAGGTTTGGAGTGGAAGTAGGAACAAAGCTGGTTATTTTCATGGTAAAAATATCTTAAGCAGGCAAAACCTTTCTAGCATTCTTCATAGAAAATAAGTATCTCCAGAGGGATAAAGAGCCCCACCCATGTGCCCCAGCGATTTCTTTTTTCTTGGCTGGTTATTCCAATCTTACCCATACAGCCCACTGTTGCACTGGCTCTCTCCATGTCTCAAGCCTGTCCAAAAAGTGTCCCCCAGACATTCCCTTGCTCCTCCTCTTTTGCAAACATATTTTGTGAGCAACTTCTACCACCCTACCGCATAGGCAATGTTCTGCACTTCATCCCTTACCGTCACCTCCTCCTCTGTCTCTGCTACAAGATGCTAGTGGCATTTTCAGCCCTAGCAGCACACACACACACACACACACTTGTAGCTCTGCCTGCTAACAGAAGCTGTTTCTCTGTCATGCCTGTTCTTGGAAAGGCAGAGCAAACTGTCCCTCGCAGGGTATTTATACAGGCTTTTGCAAAAAAGTGCCAGGAATGGTAGCGCACTTAACCATGGCTGTGAGTGATTTCAGTCTGCAGAGGCCAGTGTGGGCTGGAGACACTGGCCAGTTCCACATTCACAACTAAAGCTAAATTCAGATTCTCTAATTTTTTATCGTTTGATGGCAGAAGGAAGTGAAAAAGGACAGTGAGGCTGAAATGTTCAAACTCCTGTGTGGTTTACACCTCTTCCCCTGGCCAAGCCCAGCAGCATCATTCCAGATGCTGGACCCTCCTGTTTGAAGCCGTGTGTCAGTGCGCATTCACCCAAAAGATTTCCTGGTGGACGTGCAGGGAGGATGAGGGAGGCCACCCTGTATCCCACAGCCTGGCCCCATGCAGCATGCGGGAGGGTCTGCTGTCACCATGGGTCCAACCCATGTGTGGGAAGATATCGCTGCCCTCAACCACGACACTAGCTCAGCTGGCTGAGCTAACCGCTCACCTCTGAGGATGTATGAAGCTGAGAGCAAGGAAAGGGCTCCCAGGGAGCAGCCTTCAGTGGGCTAATTCAGCTGGGCAGTCCCTGGACAGTGTGATGCTCAGCCTGCACAGAGCTGCCCATGCCACCCACATCCCAGCAGTGTCATGGGTTGCCTTGCTGAGCCTGCTGGCTGCAGGGTGCTCTCATGTTGCCCTCTTGTGGTCCTAGAAAATGTAGGACCATCTCAACTCCCCTTGCTTTCCAGGACAGAGTGAGAGGAGGGGGATTTCTTTTCTAGAACAGGACAGCCAGCCCAGGAGGCCACGTCACTCACCCTCGCAGGGTGCTGTGGTGTTGGCAGTGCAGAGTCTCAGTCGCAAGCTTTTTCCCCTACAAGAGGGTTCCTACGAGATACAACCTTCTGGAGAACACTCTCTCTCTCTGGGCTAGGATTTGTCCAGCTCATTCTCCTCCCAGCTCTGAATATTTTTGTGTTGAACAGTTTGGTAAAGCTCCACTTGGCTATGGCCGAGCTCTCCACGTGAAAACATGGTTACAAAAAGTTTCCGAGGCAGCACTCTCTTAAGCACGCCTCTCAAAGGCTTGCCATGAACTTAGCCCCCAGTGTTGCAAGAAGCGTGGGCTAAAAACGGCGCTAAACCTTTGGACATAACATCTGCAGCGCAGTGGTTTCACGTTCTTTTGAGGCTCCAGTCAAGGCAAAAGCAGTTGACAGGTTTGTGTCAGAAGACACAGTGAACAGTCAGTCCTCCCCATCCTGTCTGGGCCACTCATGATTTTGTAGACCTCTTCCTCCACCCTATGTCCTTCTTCCAACCCTACATGGTTGTTCACTGTACAGTCTGTTCCCATAGCTCTGAGCATCCTTACTGCCTGCCTCCGAACCTTCTTCCATTTTCTTTTACCCTTTCTGAGATGACGGGACCAGAACTGTATGCAGACACTGGAGAAACACATAAACAAAGTGAAGCCAGGCCCAGAAGAATGAACCAAAACACTTACAAGCAAGACTGTGAGGATCTTGGGATGAGCAGGAACCCCAGTGGGGAGGGCGGATGGGACTCTGTGCATGTAATGCATGCTGGTTTCTGTGACTGGCATAAAGGAGGCAGGAAAAGGGAAAATACAAATAGCTGAACTCAAAGAAGAGTGAGGCAGCTTTGCTGCGGATGTCAGCAGAGGTGGGTTGGTCATGGCAGTGGCCTGAAAGGTTGCAGGAGGGATCGGAATGATGAAAAAAGCTCAGAACCTGTCTCAGCAGGCAAGAACAGCAGAACATTTGGGCTCAGAGGACAAAATCTCAAACCCTGTGGCAGGAGCTGGCATCCATTCTTTAGCTCCAGCAAACCGTATACAAGCAACCGTACCTGCGGGGAAGAGAGCACCCAGCTCCCTGTGCAGCTTCAGGCCCTCTGCCAACGGCACCGTGCCATGCCAGCAGTGTGGGTCCCTGCCTCAGAAGTCAGCGCCCAGCCTGTGCACACACTGACACGACTGACAGCGGTGCGTGCGACGCGCTCTGCACACCCCGCTCCTGGCTGGTGGCAAGCCAAGCTGGGATCTGGGTGGTTGCTATGGAGAAGTGTAGCTAAATGCACAAACAAGTGCCAAACGGCGGTAACTGCTCTGGGGGCTGAGAGACTCGGGGCTTTACAGCGTGTTGCTGAGGGACGGTATCCCTTGGGGCATGGAGGCTTTTTTTGGCCTGCCAGAAAAACCAGTGCAGGACCTACTGTACTTAGTGTGTCCGACCCGTGCGTGATGCCCTCCCTGTCACATGGGGGATTTTTTTAATTTGTTTTTCTCCATCTTGGTTCTCTGGTGCGATCTTATGGTGTATCTAAGCAGCCAAA